CAGAATCTGGACTCTGTCTTTCTCTTCAAATTTCCCAAAAATTCTCCCTTTATTCCATCATGGTTTTCAAAGTTTCAAGCAATTTTACATGTCTAGACAAGCTAAGATATAAGTGGTGTAGACATGCCTGTATGGATCAAAGCTGTAGGACTCAGGACATACACAGAAAAGATGAGTTAGGGCTGGGGTAGCCAGAGAGAGAGATTCATGGGGGAGATGACAGTGAAGATAGTGTGTGGATAAAGTATGGGGGAAAGGTACACGCATTTGGGAGTAGGGCGGACCTGCTTACTTCTCGATACAACTTTCCGTTTCTCCCCGTCAAATGTTCAGAACCTGGTTCTTAACTACTACTCTGCACTACACATAGTAGGCCCTCAACAAAATTTCGCTGAAGGAAACACGTTATTTGTTAAACTGGATCCAAACCATTTCCTCTGAGCTGCTTCCTCAAAAATATTTGTTTTATTATAATGTTGAAGAGAAAACAAATGGAAACCTCAAAGAGAAAAAGAGTCTGTTGTTCAGTGCATTCTCATTTAAGGAAAGACCTTAAAATGTATTCAAATATATTAATGAGAAATATGTTCGGACAGCTGCCAATGTTCGTGAATTCAGCCCTCTGTTGCGTAGCTACTGCTTACTCAGGAATTACACAGGTTTGCCAATGATAGCTGTTGACTGAAAATAAATATTTAATTTTGCTGTCTCACCCTACCTCATTTATTAAACAAGTTCTTTTATATAATTATCCTAAAGAGTGATGATTCTTTAAGTCTCCAGCAGATGTATTTCTGACAAACTCATATTGTCAAGTTAATGATATTTTGGGGGGTACCAGTCCCTTTTTCTTTCTTTCTGTTTTTTTTTTAAAACTTTACATACATCTGCTCAAAATATTTAGATTTGGTGGCCACGTACAGAACACTTTTCACAGCAAACCTGATGAAATAATGTCATTTTTAGCTTTCCACTCACAGCTATGGCCTCAAATGATTAGACATGCAATTCTGAATTTGATTTATGGAAAATGGAGCCCAATTCTCTGGCCCCAGGCCTGCATGCTGGGATGGCAGAAACCCATGCTGGAAAAATTTTGTTTTCCAAGTAGATGAGGGTGATTAATGGAGAGGTTCCTCTCCAATCCAGCTCCCAAGAGTAAGCTGCTGTGCTCCAGGGAGCTAAAAATGGAATACTGGGGCTGATTATTCCTAGCTCCAAATGATTACGGACATAGGTTTGAATGCCACCATCAATGAAAAGAAAAAAAAACTCTATAAATTGAGAGTAGAGACGAGTTTATCTAACTTGGTCAATAATTCATGGGAAAATCCATTGAGAGCAATTTAAATAAAAGAAAAATTAATTTAAGTGGGTTCTTTTCTGGTCTAGAAAGAAATAAAACAATATTTTGCTCATCCCTTTAAAAATTAAGAACAGAGAACAAAAATCTACCAAAAATAAAAAAAAATAATTCATTAATTAATGATAGAGTTACAGTAAATAAATAGATTTAAGTTACTAGCTTATATCTTAAAAAGCTACATAATTACATCTTGATTTTATGACCATTTTGGTTGGGTGGGTGTGTGAAAATGGGCAGAAGGTGAAGCCAACATGGATGAAAAAGACAGACATGCAGCACACCCAAATACCCAAAGGAGAACAAAATCAGATGTGGTGAGGCTGATCTAGTGATTATGAGAAACAGTTAAAGACACACTGCAAAAAACAGAGACAGAAAGAGCAAGATACACATGTATATACTCATGAAAAGACAGAGGACAGAGGAAAAGGAGAGCTAGAAAGACAAACATTTTCATTAGTTCAACAAATATTTATTGAGGCAAAAACAGATCCAGAGAGATGGGGGAAGCAGACAGGCGAAGCTCTGTAAATCCCTGAGCTTGGCCAAATGAACTCTGACTGTTGATCGAAACTGTACAAAATTGTTTTGGGGGGATCCACCAAGTACAACAGCACTATGCTAGACAGTAAAGGCGACAAAAGGATAAATCAAAAAGACTCCCCACCCTCTAAGGGTTTATTTAAAAGTTGAAGGGGGTCTATGAGTGAACTCTCTGCTGGTTTCATCATTCTTGAAAATGATGAACTTGCTGGAAATATAAAAGAGAACTTTCCGCAGCGGCAAGCAGGATTTCTCCTTTGATTTTTCATTGTAGATTATAAAGGCTTTACAAAGGTATGCAGAAATAGAGAACTTTCCTCTTGCACCTTCAGAGGTCAGAAGCATAAATAACAACCAGGAGGGGAAATCTCTTTGGTACGCCAAGTTGTTTGGCAGCCTAATCTTTGTTCCTGGAGGAATCAGTCTTGCTTCATTACCTAGTATCTGGGAGATATTTGAAACCATCTCTTACTTTTTTTTTCTTTTCTGAATTTAATGATATTTTTGGCTCAGTTGGGTCTAAGTGAGAATGAGCAATCAAAACTAAATTATAGCATTTTCCGCTCCCCAAAAGACAACTCCGAATATAAAAACACTTTATGAATAAATAAATAGCTCCCATTTAAACCTACAGCTAGGGCCGTGTTTGTCCATTAGACATATAATGTGAACCATATTTTATATTTGGGGGAAACTCTATTTTCAAAAGCTCAAAAGGTGAAATTAATTTTAATAATATATTTTATTTAACACAATGTATGTAAAATATTTCAGCATGTAACCAATATAACATTTATTAATATGATATTTTGCATTGTTTATTTCATAGTAACTTTTTGAAATCAGGTGCATGTTTTATACTTGTAGCTTACCTCAGTCTGGACTAGCCACATTTCAAGTGCTCAGTAACCACATGGCTACCATATTGGACAGGAAAGATCTGGAATGCTACTTCTCTATGGATTGTGTATCACTTCCTATTGTTAGCTCCATCAAAGGTCCAGCTAGATTAAACTAAAATCTAAAACGTAACTTTTGCCTTCCAAGTCACCTTAGTACAAAATACTGTGTTCTTTTAACCTGCCTTGTGGTGTTAACCTTTTGGACAAAAAGAAAGTGAGCTGAGGTTTGTACATGGACTTGAGAAGGCACGGTTTCCTGACTTAAGTAAAGCAACCAGTTCACTAGAACTTCTGGTTCACTAGAAGTTAAGGAGGAAAACTCCAGGTGAAATAATGGCTACAGAAGCCAGCCCTACCCTGCACTTGGGTGAATTGAGTAAGCATGTCACCCAAGGTACCCTATTTAGCCTCTTCAAGCATTCATCACTATAGATTGTAAGTTCCTTGAGGGCCCACACTATCATTAGTGAGCTCTGCTTCTCTCGCGTTTAACACAGTGCCTGGCATATAGTTGGTGTTCAATAAGTGTGTGCTGAACAAATGAATTAATTCAAATAAATACAGTCTCTCATTTGCACTAGACACATTTCAAGTGCTCCATAGCCACAATGTTAGTGGCTATCATATAGGACAGTGCAGATGTAGAACATCTCTATCATCACAGAATGTTCTAAGGGACAGCACTGTCCTAGAGCAATGGGCAGAAATACTATTTGACTTGTTAAGTTTTAGGGGTCCTCTAGAGACCACAAAACCTTTTTTTATGAGCACGGGAGAATACCAGTGACAGCAAGTGACAAAGAAAGAAGCAAGAGCACAAACAGGTATATATTTTGCCCTCCTAGAAAGTTTAAATGCAGCAAACTTACGGTTTCCACTGCAAGAAGACACGTGGCCATATATTTCTCCCTTAGTTTCTGCCTCCTTCTTAGGGTCTTCTCACCTTGATTCCCACCAGGCACAGTCCCCAAGAGTGTCCCTCTTACCCTCTAGCCAAAATGTCTAATGAATGTTTTCCCTTATTTCCCGAGATAAGTTGGCAATTTCAAAAGAAACTTTAGTAAAAAAGCTAGGGGGAAAACGAAATAAAATATAAAAAATCACAAAAACAGTCAAGCTTATATACAGTCTATACTTTTCTGAAGCTAAGAATCCCAGGAAAAGCAGTGAGGTGCTTGAAGAAATCCTACATTCCCTTCTCTGAAAACAGACTCCAGTGGCTGAGGGGCTAGCACAATTCTGCAGGCACATTAGCTGTATCCCTTTCTTCCCAGTCCCTTGTTTCAGTCAGGAGACCTCTGGGGTGCCTGACATACAGTTGTTGGTACACCTAAATATCTTGTCTCATTTCCCATTTAAGGACACCCCTTTAGAACGCTTCATTTCTCTTTAAACAAAACATTTCCCTGTTTCAAACCCTGTTGCCTACTCAGGCACTCCTGTTTAGTTTCACGTGAAGGCTTGAGAAACATGTCTAATTACAGCTGGCTTGTAGAACTGGTGACTCCCACCGTTAGCTCTGGTGAACGATCTAGCCCCCTGGTTTCCAGGTCTAGTTGATGGTCAGGATTATCTGAGGAACTGTCCCAAAGTTCAGATTCCTGGGCCCCGCTCCAGACTTCTGAATCAAATCTCTGGCAGTGGAGCCTGGGAATCTTTATTCCTACGAGCATACTAAGTGAAAATGATGCAGTCCATCCCATTTAGGGATTATTGATCTATTTCTTCCTTACTCAGATAGCCAACTCTGCCCACCTCCGGATCATTCAATCAGGACCTTCCTTACCATCACTCTGTCACTTTACAGTCTGAGAATGAAACAGGATCTTAAGCATAACATCCATACAGATGTAGAGGGGGACAGGGATAAAGGGGGTTTTCATACAAGCTTAGAGGTTTCTATAACTCTACTGCTTTTCTAGACGAATCGGTTTGAATCGTGTAACTCTATGGGATGAAAGCATCAGTAAATAATTCACTGTTAAGCTAACAATAGTGCAGATTCCAGCAGGATATGTTCCTAGGTTAATGAACAGTCTGACAGCCAGAAAGGCCAATATTAAGAATGCAAAACATGAATGTAACCTAGAAAATGAGAAGCATAATTTACCAGAAATTCAAGCTGTTATTGCACTTTAATATATGTCTCTGGTGCTCATCTTTTGATAGTTCACATAATAATCACTTACCCTTGACCTATTTTTTCAAATCTTGTGTATTTTTTCTTTGGGTCGCCAACACTCACAATGCTTCCTGAGGGGAGGGAGAGAAGAGAGAGAGAGAGAGAGAGAGAGAGAGATTTAAATTGATTGATTTTCCTCTATTTAATATTAAAATTTAAGATGCCAGAGTCAATGACAAATAAAATATTACAGCAATATTCTTATGTGATTTCTATAATTTATATGGATAATGATATATTTTATTAAAGTAACAAACAGTAATATATTAATTAAACTAGTAGTAATAACCCAGATGCTTATACTCAAAATTGATGATGTTTGGGAAACAAGAAGGATTGATCATAACCCAACATTTATAAAAAGTTCCCATAAAAGGATACTGTAGATTAGGAGATTAAAACATCTAAGGACTTGTACATAGTATTTAATAAAATCACTATCTTCTCTGAATTGGAGTAACATCGAGTGCTACAGTACATTCAGTTTTGCTGGAAAATTATCTCTTGAGCAATTAATATGCACCCAGTACTGCACTAAGGGCGATGGGGGATGGGGAATGGCTCTAATAGAGAATAAAGGTTAATCATAAAGTAATGAGACTTACTGTTTTAAAAAAACTTACATCCCTGTACACCTGAAACTAATATAATATTGTAAAACAACTATACCCTAATAAAAATTTGTATGATTATAAAATAAAATCCTAAAAAAACTCCATGCATCCCTGAACCTAGGCCCCTATTAGCACTCCAAACATTTTTAACAGCTTTACTGAGATATGATTTCCATACCATAAAGTTCACTCAAAGTGTACAATTCAGTGGCTTTTAGTAAATTTTTAGAGTTGTGCCAATTTACTCAATTTTACCATGATCTCATTTTAGAACATCTTTATCATCCTAAAAAGAAATCTTGTACCTGTTAGCAGTCACTCCTGATCCCCTCTTTGCTTACCAACCCATCCCTAGGCAACCACTCACCTACTTTCTGTTTCTATAGGTTGTTCCAAACATTGTGGAGTAAGTTTACAAGTCACACAAGAAAACCATTCATTTATCATGTTTGGCTCTGGGAAAAAATATTGGTTTTTGCAATTTCAAAATTTCCAGTCCACTACTCAGAGGATCAATACTTGCCACCACTCAGAATAAATCTAAAGGAAGTGACATTGACTCTCCAATGCAATGCTCAAATAGGTACAGAAAAATTCCGTGCCACGGCAGCATCGTGGGCATAAGTTCTCAAGTGGACTACTTGGAAGGGAATCATTTATTTGGATCCTTCTGGCCCTCCCTTCTTTCCTTATGGAAGCAAAAATCAGTATCATTACCTTTAAGTTATATCTTACTAACATGGCCCCTATTCAAAGAAGTGTAGAGTCAGTTAGTATAACAAGATTTATACACATGAACTAATTAAGAGAAGGTCTGTGGAGTCTATCTCCTAATTGTCACTCTTATCCATTCCCTCCTCTTCATACCCATGGCCACTGCCATTGTTCAGGTCCTCAACATCTCTTGTTCAAACAATTGTGCTGGTCGTTACCTACCTCTAAACTCTGCCTTCTCTAATTCCTTGTCCACAATGCCTTTGGAATAGGGTAACCATGTAACTCATAAACGAAGACTGTCTTGGATAAACTGAGATGTGAGGTCAGCCTACTTCAGAGTGATTTCACTCCATTATCCATAAATCGTCAAAAGTTCCCCCTACTACAGGATCAATTTCAAATTTCTTAGTCTGGCATAGAAGGCCCTTTACCATCCAGCAGCATCTAGCTCCTACCTAACCAGTCTAACCTCATATTATTCCTTTCCTCTCCGTCCCTCCGACTTTATATCCTAGCAACACCATCACTATCCAAGGCTTTGGTCTTTGGACATGCTCCCCCTTTCCCTTTCTTATCAAACCCATGAATTCCTATTTATTATTTAAGTGTAATATCAATATTCTTCTCTGATCATTCTAATGAGACTTACATGCTTCTTTTTGAGGGCAGGAAGCTTGTCTTTTCATCCCTGTAACTTCAGTGCCCAGAACAGTGGCTGCCACTGAATTTGCTGACTAAATGAATGTGAACAAGCAAATATGTATTCAAGAGCTAAACTGTGTGCTACAGACGATACTTTGTGCTAATTTAGACATGATCTATTTTCTGGGCTAGTGAACAACTTCATTCAGACCTACCAGTAGACAGTATACCTGGAAAAAAAAATGTTTCATTCATGGGTTGTTCATCCATGGTTGTTAGGTTTGTTGTTGTTTGTTTTTCGTAAGAGAAGTCCATGTTTCAGTTAGGTTAAATAAGAGTCATGATATGTGAGTCGTTGTAATTCTTTTCCTCTTGTATTCCCAATCTCAGTCAATGGTACAACTATCTGTCTACTCAGTAGCCCGAGTCAGAGATCTGGGAGTCACCCTGACTTATCCCTTACCTTCACTCCCCATGTGCGTAGTTGTCCACTGAGTCCTGGGCCTATATCTGTTTACCTCCTAGATACTTTTTGAATCTGTCGTCTCCTCATTACTACTGTTCTAGTTAGGCCCTCACCATTTTTTGTTTGGGCTATTCCGACAGCCTCCTAGCTGGATTCAGAATTTCCAGCCTCTGCCCACTCGAGTCCAGGCTCCACACCTATGTCAGGATGCTCTAAGTGCGGACCTGATCACGTGATTCTCTGGTTCAGGGGTCCTGGATGCTTCCTCAACACCTACAGGGTAAAGCTCAAACTCCTTGGCATGGAATGCAAGGTTCTTTGTATCTGGCTCTTGCTTCATACTCCATCTCATCTTCCCCACTTCCCCACTAGAACCTTATGCTCTCACCATAACAAACGAATTGTAGCTCATGATCAGATCCTGCTTAGCGACTTGGCTCCCTCTCTTAAAACTCCAGTCCCCATATCCACCACCAATTCTACTGATATATTCAAGTGGCACTGAATAAGTTAATGTTCCCAACCATATACTTTTATACTTTCTTTACATGCTATTCTCTGCCTGTAATGTCCTTCTTAAGTTTTCTTCCTGGCAAGTCCTTATTCACACTTCAACTCAGCTTCAGTTATGCCTCCTCTAGGAAGGCTTCCCTGATGTTTTTGGAATAAAATTAATAATTTCCCTTCTCTGTACTGCCATTGTACCTTCTCTCTCTCTCTCTCTCTTTCTGCCTCCTCTTTTGCATTTTTTCTTGTTTTTGCTCTTGCTCTCCTTCTCTGTACTTAATATACCATCCATCTATATCTATGTATTTGACATCCCCTTATAGACTGTGTCATAAGGACAGGGGCCATGTCTTATTCATCTCTGCATCCTCAGTGCTTCCCCATATAATGCTGTATGTGAAATACATTGGTTACTCAATAAATGTCTATTGAATTAAACTCAAATAAAATTAGGAATTACATTTAGTAAATGCCCCGTATTTTAAGGCAGGGGTTAGAGAATGTATTTTACTTGAGCTATCTCTATAGAATACCACCAATGTAATTCTGAGTTGCTATTTCATTTTTCAGATTGTCTCACAGATTTCTACATCACTGAGAACTACCTTCCTTCAAGCCAGCTGTGAACGGGTAAGGACCTGGAACTTAAAAAATTTTTAAATGAAATGACGATTTTAAAGTCACTTGAAACCACAGTTCTATTAAGCAGTTTAAAGTCTTCTAAGAAAGTTATACTATTAAGTTGCTGAGCAAACTCTTTTCCATAGACTGAACAAAAGCAAATAAGCTTCACCCCAAGCCACTTTCTGAATTATGACCAATTCCAATTGGCAGGCTTTAGTTAATGAGGTTTTTATTTTATTTTATTTTTATACAGCAGGTTCTTATTAGTCATCTATTTTATACATATTAGTGTATATATGTCAATCCCAATCTCCCAATTCATCCAACCTCCCACCTCCCACGCCTTGCTTTCCCCCCTTGGTGTCCATACATCTGTTCTCTACATCCGTGTCTCTATTAATGAGGCTTTATGGCAGTAAATTATTCAACTTTTATTTCCATGGTATGCAGGATAAAAACAACAACAACAACAACAACTGGGAATAAATCCTTTCATGAGGATTACCAAAAGACAACCATTTTGATGCGCTTCTGCTTCTGAATTTAACTGCTATTCTAATAAAATGGCGTCCTCATGCCCATTACCGGTCACAGGAGAGTGTGTGCTGCCATCTACTGATGCTGAGCAAGTGAACAGCAGGCCTTGTGTACAATTCCGAATTACAAAACAAGCTTTTACAGTGACCTCTTTCATCAGAGCCATTCTAATTTGTGTTCCTAAATTATACTAAAGAAAGGAGAAAACCTTGGTACACAATAGGGATAAAGAGACAAAATTCAGCAACTCAACATCAAAAGGAAAAACTGATGGCAATACCAGAACAACTTCCAACCAGAGCAATTTCCTAAATGAGAAACAAACCATTCACTTTAAAGTACAAGGATTTACGAAATCACTAAATACTAGTATTTGAAAATAGGCTTCATGATGTGGTTTCAGTGACAGAAAAGCCCATCAGTGTGTTCGCCTACATATCAAGGAAACTAAGTTGAACTCCAAGCATTAAAAGACTGTCTGTTTGGCATAATGAAGGTTTTGATTTCTGAGAAAAAGCAAAAGAACTCTCTAAACTAATATTAGTTCTATCTGAGGGGGGATTCGGAGAAAGAGTTTTGAGTGGGGAATGCTGGGGGAGGGGAGGGACTAGAGGAGGAGGTGATTGCACAATTCTGCTGACAGTCAGCACCTTTTGAAAAATTTCAGTAAAATGTAGGGGTTTCTTTATTTTCCAGCAGATTCAGACCAGACCACAATGAACAAGGCAGACCCAGGCTATCTGTCTGTGTAAAACTGAAAGATGATCTGTTCATTTCAGCCATTAATGATCCCATGGTCTGGCTCCCACAATCAGTATCTGTGTGGAAGAAGAATAGCCTGACAGCTCTGTGGTCTGGGCTGCCCACGTCATAGTAATCAGATCCCTGAGACTGAAGGTGAGGCCGCCCTCCCCTCCTCCCCACGCTTATGGTGGGGTCCACCCTGGTATGGGCCGTAGGCCATTTTCCTACCTCCCTGTCTCCCTTTTCCCTCTCCTTTGCCTCTTAGTACAGGCTCCTTTACTCCTTCCCCAAGCCCCTCCTCCTCAGTGATTTCTGTACAGGGCCCATACATCTGGGATTATTGCTGGTTTCAAACATTCTGTCCCCCTGAAGATCCTAGGCCCCAATTTTTTTTTTTTTTGGCGGTACGCGGGCCTCTCACTGTTGTGGCCTCTCCCGTTGTGGAGCACAGGCTCCGGACGCGCAGGCTCAGCGGCCATGGCTCACGGGCCCAGCTGCTCCGCGGCATATGGGACCCTCCCAGACCGGGGCACGAACCCGTGTCCCCTGCATCGGCAGGCGGACTCTCAACCACTGTGCCACCAGGGAAGCCCCCCAATTTTTTATAGTGAAAAATACGGTTGCTCTCATGGTGGAAAACACAGCATAATAATTCTAAGCAACTATTTATTGTGCTGGGTGGCTTACATACTTTGCCTCGTTTGGTCCTCACAAAATCCCCATTATACCAGTACAGTCGTCTCCATTTTTCAGATGAAGACACTAAATTTTAGAGGAGTTCAGTGACTTGTCTAAGGACACACAGCTGGTCTGGGTCTATGACTCACTCAGACTCAGTTATGATTCACTTCAAAGTCTGTCCTATTGTATTATCTTAATAAGGCTTTATATTCATGTAATAAAATAGTAACTACCATTTATTGAGCACCTATTGTGTACCAAGTACTGTTGCTGGAGGTTTTTACATACATTATTCTCATTGAATTATCATAATGCTATAAGGTTGGTACCATTATTATCCCCATTTTTCTTAATGAGGAAAAAGAGGTCCAGAAAAGTTACAATAACTTGCCTAAAGTGACACAGCTGGGAGCAACGGGCTTGCGATTTGAATCTGGGCCTTTCTGACGCCAATACCTGTCCTCTTAGCCATAGGTTGGGCTACGTAAAATCCATCCTGTAGACAGAGTCCTAAAATGTAGTTACGATTCTCATCCCCATTTGGCCAATAAGAAATGAAGGTTCAGAGGGGTTCAATAACTAGCTTAAGGTTATATAAGCGAGTAAGTGGCAGAGACAGGGCCCAGGGAGGGTGATGGTGAAGCAGAAGCAGGAAAGACTGACTTTGCAGACTTTGCAGTAAAGCTCAGCCTGGATTTGCTTCGTGAAAAACACTCCTCCATTTCTTGGCAGGTGTGCCCTGCCGACATCTGTGAGCACAAGGTAGGGTTGAGAGTTGCAGGTGGCCCACAGGCTGGAGGGAAAAAGATTCTCTCTAGGCCCAAGCATTCTCCAATAGAGAAAACAACTGACTTAATTCTTAATTAAAAATGTAATCAATCAAACATGGCTTTTTCCTCTTCATCATGTTGCTCAGTGTAGGGCAGAATAAACAACAAATTATAAAAACCACAGCTCCAGAACCCTTACAGTTGGCAAGCAAAACAAGATCTTGCCCCCGCCTCAAAATAATGCCTGTTTCTCTGTCAGTGAACTTAAGAAAGCTATACATGTATTTTCATTATAATAAATCTACTGAGACTTGAACCAGTTATCAAATAATCAATTTTACTAAAGCGAGGCTGCTAGATTTTTAAAATCTGATATATTCTCACAGGTCGTGTAAAGTAAAGGAAAAAAACTGAGGCAATTGTCTGAATACTTGAACTGAAATTATCCAGGCAATTCTTTCCTTTATTCCTTCCGTTTTACACAAATAGACAGCTGGCAAATGCAGAAGCAAAGTGGGTAATGGAAATAGTATAAGCTTTGAAGGCAAACAGATATGAATTCCAACTCTGGCTCTGCCACTCATTAGTTTGGTGATCTGGTCACTCCAGCTTTTTGAGGCTTACTTTCACTGATCTATAAAATGAGGCTATGAAAATCTACCACAAGGGATTACTGTGAAAATTAAACTTGATAATGTATGTGAAGTGGTCAGCAGAGAAGGCACTTAATAAATGGGAATCATTGCTGTTGTTATTAAGGAAATAGTTGGTATTAGCACTAGAGGCATGTTTGATCGTGTACAGTAAAGTCGGTTGGCTCAATTGGTCCCTCAATTCCAGTTCTGAGCGCTGACAACGGCAACCCAAACCTTTGCCTTTCCAAATACCTCTGTGTCAGACTGTCTCAACATCAGCACTGTTGACATTTGGGGCTGAATAATTCTTTGTCGCAGAGGGAAAGGAAGGAGGCTACCCTTTGCATTATAGAGTGTTTATAAGCATCCTTAGCCTCCATCCACTAGATGCCAGTGGCATTCCCTGTGCTGTGACAATAAACATGTCTCCAGATACTGCCAAATGTCCCCTGGAGGGCAAAATGGCCCTACGACCACCTCTGCAGAGTCCTCCTGTGGCCTATAGCCTGCACTGCTCTCTTCCTTTCCTGAGTTCTTTTAGACAGTTGCATGAAACAAGATGGCCTCCTATTCTCTCACTGTATCACACTATTAAATCTTATCTTCCAAATAAAATTGTAAGTTTCTTAATATCAGGAAATTGTTTTTCTATGGTTTCCTCCAAAGACTCTGGCATAGAACACGTAAGTAGGAACCCAGTAAAGATGCATTTGTCTGCTCATTTTTTCACCCATTCAATCAACAAGCATCCGTTAAGTGCCTCTCTGTACCAGGCACTTTATTAGAACTGGATGTACGGGAAAAGAAGGCACAATCTCTGTCTTTAAAGAGCTCCCAGTCTAGTGAAGGAGACAGACAAGTACAGTGTGATATTTGCTGCAATAAAGGCAGTGAAAAGAAGGTCCATTGACTCAGACTGAGAGAGACAAGGAGGGCTTTCCTGAGGAGGTGTCTTTTGAGCTGAGGTTTGAAGGATGAGTAGGAGTTAGTCAGATTGGAGGCACGAACTGTAGATAACTAGTGATTTGTTAGATGCTTTTGTAGTATGAGTTTAATGAATGTGTTTCACAGAACTTTGACTCTTTTCAACAGAGGATTTTTTTTTAAATCTCTTTGACTCAGAAAGCTAAATGGAAGAGGAGTGTTTTGTAAAATGGAGCGAGTGTGTATGCACAAGCCTGGGTACACTAATGACACTGCAGGAAGGAGGCTGTGAGCATTTGCTGGCCCTGCCTCCCTGTCCACGTAGCAATGTTCCTAAATTAAGAGAAAAGGCAATTTTATCGTGGCCACCCACTTTGATTGACTGTGTTGGGTTTTGAGGTTGAACTATCCATCATGATCGATCAGGTGGGGGCCCCTGGGGTATGATCATAAGATCTTTTTCGTCAGACTGATCCCCTTTGGGGGTATGATCTTAAAATAAAACTTACTACTTAATTCATTTAGTGAAGTTTTCACCTTGATTGATATTTTTCAAGTGAAAATGCTTGGTTTTTGTGCAATTAGGAGTATGAGGGAGGGGGTGATCTGGAATACACAGTGAGTCTCAAACTTTTCATCTTGTGATGTCAGGGAGCCTGGAGTTCATGCAAGCAGGTTCAAATTTTTAAAGGTTCAATCCCCACTGTAGGTGGAGAAACCCTCTCATGAAGAAACTAACGATGGCAAAACAAAAAACAACTCACTTAGCTTCTCTAGGATCTCCTCATCTGTCATCTTGGATTTTTTCCTCTGCCGGTCTGTGTTTCTATACAAAGTACTGGAATTGGCGTTCTCAGCAGAAGGTGGTGTGACCTCTTTATTTGGTGCTGCTGGTGAAGCAATGGATTCAACCACGGAACGAGTGTAGATCTTAAAGACAAAAAATCTGGTTACAGATTAAAGACCAAAATAATGCTACAATTGATGAACCTACATTGACACATCAGGATCACTCAAAGTCCATAGTTTACATATGGTTCACTCTTTTTTTTTTTACACATACACACAATGATTTATTATCATGTACTTTCATAATTATTAGATGTATCCTTTACAATAACGACTTCAGAAGTATCCATTTTTGTAGATCATTAATAAATTCAATGTTCCTTGAATCCAAAATCACTAATTGGGTATGGGTAATACAGATACTAGTGAAAATTCTATAACTAAAGAGTTGTAAGACCTTAGACAATTAAATCACTTTCCTAAAGGTTTTTTTTTTTTTTTTTTTTTTGCAGTACGCGGGCCTCTCACTGCTGTGGCCTCTCCCGTTGCGGAGCACAGGCTCTGGATGTGCAGGCTCAGGGGCCATGGCTCACGGGCCTAGCCGCTCCGCAGCATGTGGGATCTTCCCGGACCGAGGCACGAACCCGTGTCCCCTGCATCGGCAGGCGGACTCTCAACCACTGCGCCACCAGGGAAGCCCCTTCCTAAAGTTTTAGGGTCTGACTATGCCTGATATCTCTCTTCTAATTCTCAAAATTTATGTTTGGCCTTCCCCTCTGAGTCTTTCTTTTCAGAAATGCCTTTTCTGTCTCCCATTATCCTTTATATGGGATGGCAGCCTCCAGGGCCATCAATTTCTGTAGAGATGCTTACCAAACTGTATTTACCTACAAAAGTCAAGTAGGAGGAACTAGAGGAACATACTATAATGAAGGTAGAGTTGGGCTGTTGTATTTTTGGCCACACAGAGACCAATAGGATTATGATATTCAAGTACCCTATTTTTCATCACTTTCAATCCATCAATCACATGGTTCACTCTTAATGCACATTCTATGGGCTTGGATGAATGTATAATGACATGCATCCATCATTATGGTATCACACAGAGTATTTTCTCTGCTCTAAAAATCTTCTGTGCTCCACCTATTCATTCCTCCCTCCACCCCGCCCCTCAACCTTTAATGAGTTTTTAAAGACAAATGATTTCTATCAAAAAAGATCTTTAAGTTGCTTCAAGTATACTGCCCTTGAAAGCTCTCAGGGGCTAGTCTTTTGAGGTCCCCAAACATGCTGTGCTAATTGTGGTCTTGGTGCCTCTGCGTATGCAATTCTTCCTACCAGATTCCCATGGCTTTTGTTCTCTTTCTTAACTTCTGCAGCAGTTTTAAAATTTAGCACTTATTTGTATATTGCTTGGTATTATTCTCTAATTGTCATGTGCTAATCTGCATCCTCAAACAGCAACCCCAGTGAAATTTTTATCTTATACTCTAGTTCCGGGAACATAGATGCTCAACAGATACTAGGTGATTAACTAGATTCTGACTCTAGGACTATGCCAAAGGACGTCTGTTGAATCATTTGGAAACACGGTCACTTGGGACTTACTGATTTTGTATGCTCTGGTCTTGGTGCAATGACTGGTGGCGGCTCATTGTCGTCTTCTTCTTCTTCCTCTTCTTCATCTTCTTCTTCAGACACAGGGGGAGCCAAAGGAGGCTCTGATGCTGTTTTTGTACTCTTACGGTAAAAACAAAGTTTAAAGACCAGATCTTAACTCCTCATTGTTTTTCTTCAGAAGTGAGAAAAGGGAGATAAAATATCTAAGCACGTAGGGATAGGAAGGAAGTTCATCTTTTACAAATGCGCAGAACCATCTACAATTTGGTGGCCAGAACCTGCCCGCATTCAGAGATAAATTCAGGTCAGGATTTAAGCACCATGAAATTTTAAAACTTCCTTTTATTTTCCACTGAGCTCAAAAACAGTGAGCTATTCATTGAACACTTTCAAGTTCAGTGTTTTTGAAATCAATGAATATATTTTAAAAATCAAATTAATTGCTATTAACGCCTTGAATTGGTACCGGGCAGATTGTCAATGTGTTGATTGACAGTTTGTCAACCAGCAAATGGCTATTTTGTGCCTAAAGATCAGAGCATGCGTATGGCATAAATACAGCTCTGCAAATATTCACGAAGTACAAGCGAGCCCATAAATGTTTCTTTCCTGTTCAGCCTCCTGGAAGGAAGCACTCAGAGAATAACAGACGTGAAGATTTAAGGAATCCTCATCTACATAAATAATTGTCAATCTCAACCAACAGGTAAATGATGATTTGCAATGAGAAAAATTTCAATAACACCAAAAATAATGACAGCAACCACAGTATCTAGGGTTGGTTCTTGATCATTCACATTAATGCAGGGGTAGAATGGTACCAAAGGTGGATTTTGAAATAACTATGGCCATGGTACTCAAAGTGTGGTCCCCAGACCAGCATCATTAGCATTATCAAGGAATTTGTTAGAAATGCAAATTCTTGGACTCTATCCAGACCTATGAATCAAATTCTGGGGGTGGGACCCAGCAATCTGTGCTATAACAAGCCTTCCAGATGATCCTGATGCTTGCTTAAGTTTAAAAATCACTGAACTATGATATAGGTCTTTGTTGTTCAGTATGATGGCTATTCAACACTTAAAATGTGGCTAGTCTGAGTTGAGATGTAAGGTGTAAGTGAAAAATACATACCAGGTACTGAATACATAATAAGAAAAAAATATAAAATATTTCCTTATTGCTTTTTATATGGAGTGTATGTTGAAATAAAAATATTTTAATATGTTGGGTTAAATAAAATATATTATTAAAATTAACTTCACCTATTTCTTTTTACTTTTAAAAATGAAAGTCAGAAAATTTAAAATTACACATATGGCTTTTATTACATTTCTGTTGGACAGCACTATTATAGATGGTTTTTGAGTTTTTGTTGTGTGTGTGCATGTGTGTGTGTACTTGTTTATTTTTTGTTTATGCCTTTGAGTACACTGGCTCAGGCTAAGCCTAAAAAGAATTTTCTTTCTTTCTTTCTTTCTTTCTTTCTTTCTTTCTTTCTTTTCTTTCTTTCTTTCTTTCTTTCTTTCTTTCTTTCTTTCTTTCTTTCTTTCTTTCTTTCTTTC